AAGGTTTTTCTGGCATATAAAAGAAGCAGAAATTAATCAGTGTTCTGGCTCTGCCCGAGGACATGTCATGGAAACGGGCTAGTGTTAAGGAGGCCCACAGATTAGGAACCACACAGGACCGACTGGCCTGAAACGGCAACCACTTTATAACAGCAATCCGATCTGGCCCCAGCTCTCAGACTGGACATTAATCATGTTCAGTTCAGATTCATTTTGTGTTTCTTCTAGGAACTGCTTTATTGAAACACCTTAAAACAAACTGATGTCAAGTTTTAAAAAAAAAATATACATTTATGCGATCATCATGATTCTGGGTGGAGCCTCGTAGAATAATTTTCTTCATCCCTCTATTTCCTGTTATTCCTGTCATTGGGTACAGCTGTGCCCATCATCACCACGGTAGGACCAAACTGGGCACATGAATACTGCTGAATCACCAAATCAGGCTACTTTTAACTTCAGGCATGCCACCCACTCTGGCGAAACTCTCTGCCTCATGGCTACTCCGGGTCCTTTAGGTAACCAGATAACGACATTGGCGGCTCAGTGGCACGAGCTGGTCACAGTACCCAGCCTGATTTGCATATGCATCGCATGGATTGTGTCAATATGCAAACAAGCACTTCATGATGTGCAGCACCATTAAGATCGGTGATTAGTGGAGGATGAATCAGAGGCCGATGGTGGCAGTGGGGGGGTGTTATTGTCACATAGGCAGCACAGCGGGGGACAGTACAGATACAGGCATGCCTCACAGGCCGAGCTAACAGGCTGAGGAACACAGTCAACTGTAATCACCTCAGTCATCAGCCTTTTTCCAATCACTTTAGCTGTGTCAGCTTTCAGTGCTGAAGCCGGCTACTCACTGCTCCTGTTTGTTAATGCACAGTCATCACAATACACTACAGCTGTTGTCACTAAAGTGTATAGGTACTGCACTCCTGTTCTAATCCTTTTCACAAGTGTTCAGACATTTTTCTTTGCGCTCACTTGTAATTCACCCACTTGACGTCAGTCAGCCGTTATGGTAGCTGAAAAGTTTCCCCAGTGATGATTAAACCATTTCCCACAATGCTATTCAATCCTGTAGTTACCTACATAACTTCACCCCTGCCTCTGTTCAACATGCTCTATACATATCTTTTAAAAAAAATCTGAAAATCTTCATTCATTTGTAGCTTCCATCTGGCAAGAAACAGATGACAAAATCTGTGCTATATTTGTGCCGGTTGTGCCAAGCTGTAAGAGGAGTGTTGCTGCCTTGGAAAATTCATAGAAAGTGTTCTGACATAATTCAAAGCCACTGAGACACACAGAGGACAAAGGCTCTGTCAACATGCTGTGAATTAACACTGAAAAAAGTGTCAGTAGTGCATATGTTGAGGTCTTTTTCCCATCCTGCCACTAACTGTCGTGTTGTACAGCTTGAGTGACAACTAGAATGCACAACAGATCGAGGCCGTCTTTTCTTTTAAAAATAAAACCCTGGCTATAATTTTCTGCTGAAATCAGCAGTCTGTCTGGATCTGATAACCTGGCTGAGGATCAATGTTAAAGTCTGGACTGCAGGACAAAACCTTTGGACAGCCAACTGACAGGCTGAATCCTGAAAAAACTGTAATGAAATCAGACCTTGGTTCATGTTTTTTTCCAAATACTTGCTCACCAGACCTGTTCTTAGCTAAAATATTTTATATGTTGTATATATTTAAGGTTTCTAGTTTAATAGTCCTCCCCTTCAGCTTCTCTCAGTCACCAGATTACCAGTTACCATCTTCAATGTATTTCATCCTCATGGAAAGGAGAATGGAAGATGCATAGTGCTCCATGGACACTTTAACACCTCGTGAACATCCATCATTCCAGGAAGGAAAAACGGGACTATGAGTTTTGAACCCCTCAGAATATGGCCTCTAAACTGTCTGCTCTCAGACACCCCGACAGCCAATGCAAACATGCCAAAGGGCTGCAAAAGGCCTCTGGGAAAAGGATTCAGCATTAACTGGAGCAATTTGACTTTATTTTGAGATTCTTCTTCTCAGGATGTGAATTCTGGTTCCAAGGAGTGTGATGAGAAGTCTGTTTTAGGCACACAAGGAAATGTGACAAATGAGTGGCAGCAAAACATGTCAAATGTGTTGAGTTCAGTTCATACCAAGTGGAGATAGCAAGACCACAGAGGTCTTCAAATTAAGGACCATTGTGGAAACGCTAGAGGTCGACTTGAAGCTGCAACGCTGCTCTCATCAGCCACAGAGAAGCATGACTAAATGCTGGAAAACACAGAGTACGAGATTTTTGCTGCATTTCAGCATAACTCCCCACCTCCGCTGGGATGGTGCTGTCTATAAATAGCAGACTACTCCATGCCTTGGAGCTGCTTGGCTCCACAGGCTCTATAAACGGGAACGTTTTGGAGAGGTGCTTATGTTCCATACAGATAAACAAGACCTCCCAGCGGTCCAGGGATCTCCATGAAGGCCTGGCCCATCTGTACTTGGAGCCGGTAGAATCCCGGAGGAGCCAGAAGTAGGTGAGTAGGAACATATACCGTCCTGTCTAACACAGGATGATTGTTAGTATGGCAGAGCTGTTTAAAATCCAAACCGGAGATTCCAGGAGCACATCAGACAGACCATGCTCCCCATGACATGACACGGGGCCACCTGAGCAACATGGTTTGATGCAGAACAGCCCACCTGACTACCAGATAAGTGGCCAAAAAGTAGCATAAAACAGCTCCTGAACGACTCTGACCTTCCTACTAAGGAAAGGTCACCAGTTCCACACCCGTGTCCCACACCCAGAGCTGATGAGTCATAACAGCTGGAGCTCATTACAGAGGATAGGTGCGCATTCTGGGCTGCCTGTGCCCTCATTCCATGCTCTTCATTTCCTCTCTTCCTCAAATCAAAGATCCCAATCTGGGTTCAGTGGGTAGCACAGGTTGCTGAGTTATAGTGTGTTTTTGGGGGCTGCTTATCAGGTTAGGATGGGGATGATTCACTGTCCCTGAGGCAGTAGGTGCACTGTGATGTGTCTGTGACCAGTGGTCAGAGTGTCAGACAACATGGCTGTCGGCTGAGTCAGATTCCGCCCCCCCAAGTGGTTAAGACCAGCTAGCCCAGCATCTCCCTTGGCCCCACAAAGGTCCAAGGCATCCACGATGCACAAACAGCTGTCCAAAATCATCCTAATTAAAGCAGATGGTGGTGACCTCCCTCTCCCACCTGAAGGTCCCCCTCCAGTGGTGCTTTAGCCATGTTGATCAGTGCAGAACACAAGCCAATTAAGCCAATAGCCCGGTTTACATCTTGTCGTTGTTATTGGATACAGCGGAGAAGCCTGATGCCATCTGAAGCCATAGGTCGACCTTCAGACGAGGTCTTCTCACAAGTAACACAAAGGATTGACCCAGCAATGCAGCGAAAACAATTCCCATATGACTGGATTACGTCACATCCTGAGGAACACAGCCGATGCTCAGTTTTATCTTTCCCTCTAAAGTCACGCTCTATAACTTTACATGAGCAAGAGGAACAATCTAGAAAAAAGTAAACACCACATGTTCAAATGAACCCTGCCTCCTCCAGTGCCTGCCCTGTGCCCCTGTAAACATTTGTGCACTTCTGTCCTGCCCCAGGTCTCCACAGTATGCTCTGCAGTGCGTTTTAGTTTTCAGACTTGGCAAGACCTTTGTGGAGCTGGTCCAGTTTGCTGAGTAAAGTACTTCTGCACCCCCGCCCACCCACAACCCATCCAAAGCACCTGGCATTTTTTCAAATGTCACACTCAATGGGTGGGGGATGCTTCCCCATTTAGCGGGAGTGTAAATTTCACAACAGTAAGTATACCGGATGAAGCCAGACTTGCTTCTTTGCATCTCGTCCTGCGCCCCACCCCCCCATGGACACACTTCAAACACTAATATCCTGAACAAATGTTAGTTCTCGACTTCAAATAGGATGCTTCATGAGAGGAGCCCTGCAGGAGTGAAGATACAGTCTGACGCTTATTAAATGTAAAGGTTAAAGCTGTATATTTCACAGGCGCCCTCTGGGCCAGCCATAATTTACGCATGCCATATTTGTTTAAGGAATACTGGGGTTTGGGGCAGGGTGTTTGTGGACTGATTAAAAATAACACTCGCATTTTATCATCATTTTAATGAGCGCCGATAAATACCACAATGTCTGATAGTGAAGAAAAAATTAGTATGGAACATGGAACTGGTGAAGATCAATATTTCATTCTGGGGTCTAGATTTCTCAGTAATTTGGGCCCCTTCTTCCCTCAGATCTTGTCTGTAATCCTGCCTTCATCGTTTTTTTCTAAATATGAATCTCAATCTTTTCAGTTCAGCTCAGTTTAATGGCTGAGTATCACCTGCAGAACAATGAAATGTGGAAAGGTGATGTTTAGCTGATGCCTGTGCTCTCTGCTTACTGGATTCTTCAGCAAGCAAACGTTCCAAAACACAAACGAAGAACTACCTTAAATGCTAACGTATGCTCCACCTATTGGAAAAACAGGGAATTGCAAGGATATGAGAGCTTTGTTCATCTAGCTCGCTGATGTTGTCTATCATTTTTCTAGAATATGTCAGTCCTCCTCTGTCTCTCCTTCAGTTTTGCCCAAAAATCTGAAAAAATGCTTTGGTCAACACAAGTGCATAAATGTCACTGTTGCTGATGAGAATGCCCTTCACAGAGTTAGTCTGAAGTTTCCAGTATTACCCAGAGGGATGGTGGGGGTGTGGACCTTTCCTGGGTGGTGAGTAGGGTGAGCACCAAGGGGAGGGTGGGATACCTGACCACGTCACTTTTAGTTTGCATGGGACAATGAGGGTAATCCTCGTGGGGAATTAGGGAACTGCAGGAAAACCCCACACCCATTCACACACACAAGCACTGACTCAAATGTACACAGGTTTGCACAGTGATACAGTGATCTTCAGTGAAGTTATATGTACATTTACTGTATATGTGCCAAAAAAAAAACTTCATTTTGTAAAAGGGGGATGGTTCCCCTTTAATCAGTATTAATTAAAGAGTACAGGCCTTAGCACAGACATCAAAAGCCTACAGATGGCACAGAAGAGGACAAGATGCCCAAGAGATCATGAGAAGCTTCTGGCATTCACTCACTCCATCGTCAACCTCAGAGGAGTGCATCTGACACGGTTGAGACAGGGCTGAGATCTGGGGCCTGGTCCAGACACCTGAGAGGATGGGGGGAGCGGTGAGTCAGAGGCTGGAGCGAGAGAGACACCAGAGAGGCTGGGATGCAACTCACACAGCACACTCACACACACACATACACACACACTCACACAATGGAAAAAGCACCAGTCAGGGAAAGGAGGTCAGCTTTATTCAGTACCTCGCCAACATCTGCTACCAATTACAGCAGCTCGCTGGCGCACTCTCAAGGGCAAATTGAGTTAGGGCGGGTGGTTGAGGCACACCCCAGGCTGTCCTGTGTGCAGCAGCTGCCAGGTATCTCTGGGCCTGCATGATAAGCGGGGACAATAGCGCCTGTACTCCGCTGTCAGCTGTCAAGAGGAGCCCAGCAGAAACTGCAGGGGGCGGTGTGGTCAAGGGGCTGATCTCTTTCCCACCATGACTCTTAAATACTCCATAGAAGTCAGCATTTGAACAGGAAGCCAGCTAACTTGGCATTTAAATCAGGCACTAAATAAAATGATTTCTAAAACATGAATGGAACTGGTTGTGTAGCAAAGGAACAGCACAAATCCTCTGCACTACACTACACGTCTACAGAGTCTAACTCCAGTTCACATTTACACCTCAGCAGCAGATCCTCTCCCACAATGTTTCCACAGCCACCACACCACCTGCTGTCCTTTTTCCTCATTACAGCTGTAACAGACAGAGTGACAGAGCCATGCCCCAGGGCAGCCTCACACAGTTCAAGGCCCGACCTGGCTTTCAGCTCTCAAACTCACCCTGCTTGCCCTAAATGGCCAACATAAAGCATTCCTCGTTCCTGAAGACGCTCGAAACGCTCCCAAGAGTTTTCTTGGCCTCGCAGTCATTATATCAACATGGTGGCAAAGGATCCCTTTTACAAAGTAATCGGGCACTTAATTACAGCCAATTACCAACATATTTGGGCTTTTTATAGAGCTGTCAGGAGTTAGGAGAAATTACACATGCTGTCTTCTAGCAGAGCAGCAGAGACATGCATGTGGCAGGCCTGATGTTAGCCTCTGCAGGCCAGACCGAGAAGGAGACTCTCATCTCATGAAAGCCATTGGAGGGACAAGCAAGATGCAGCAAGCCACTGCCTAGAGATTTCAGGTGGGAATCTGAACTGTGTATGATGCTGATTAACTCCATCTGGGCTCAGATCTCAGAAGTGGGGCGGCTGTAGCCACGCAGCAGGTCGGGACTTGCGGGGAGGCAGGAATGCGGCATGTGGGCCTAACACAGACGATACTCCTGACAGAGGTGCTGTCCTTCCTCTGCTCTCACAGAGGCAAATTATCCTTCAATAAAGTTATTAGTAAAACAGAAAAATGTGCTGGTGCCAAGAGTCAGTACCCACAGCAGAAAAAGTTTGTAATAGTCAGATCACATCAAAAAAACAATGTGCAATATCCCAGACCCACATTGCGTTTCTGCTCCTTTGACTGTCACTAAACACTAAATACTTAAATGTTAGAATGAAATGTTACTGTACAATGAATAAATGTGTTACAAAACTTTCATTTAAAATGTTTTCCAAAGTGAGTTCTGATTAAAAGTAACTGAATAAATGATCCAGGCCCTTAACCCTCAGTTGTTCCAGGGACTCCCTGACCCTGCCTCCTCCATAAAAAAATATGCAATTTTGCATAAAATCGTTTGCTAAGTGCATAAAATATACTTACAAGAAACTGGCAATTTGGTTTGCTATCCAGCAGGTGGCACTGTTTTTTACCATTTTGTCTGTAAGGAAACATCAACATTTCATTTACACTCTGTGTCATGTATCCAGGGGTGCCGTAAGGTGGGGGAAAATGAGGATGATTCCAAGGGTTTTCAAATTTCAAATATTTGAAAAATAACTGAATTGGGCTGGACTGGGGGGCCCAATAGGGTATGCCTTCATGGAGCCCAAAATCTCCAGCATCACTTCTGCATGTATCCCACATAATGAAGTTAGTTCATTAGTTTAGCATTTTGGTATATCTAATACAGGAGATTACAACCCAAGTAGAAATCATAAGAATTGTTTGATACTTGCATACACAAGGGAAAAAGTCATTTTGTAGGCATTAAGTGTTACACAGAGCACAGAGATGTGGGCTCAAGTTACATGCTGGGAAGGTAAAAAGCTCTAGAAAAGGCAGGAAAGAGCTGTGAAGGATCTGCACATGTGCAAACGCAGGGTAATCAAATCAGCCGTGACAGAGCTACAAACAGAATATAAAAAGTGAAAAGCTGGCAGTGTGTCTGCTGTTTGGCTGGGCAATGTGCTTAAGCTCCCCCCCAACAACATCTCCTGCCTGACATTTGGCCGGGCACAATGTTTAAGCCCTGCCCCCACATTTTCTCCTGTCTGCTGTTTGGCCGGGCACAATGTTTAAGCCCTGCCCCCACATTATCTCCTGTCTGCTGTTTGGCCGGGCACAATGCTTAATCCCTGCCCCCACAGTGACTCCTGTCTGAGGTTTGGCTGGTCACAGTGGTTAAGCCCCACCCCACATTATCCTCCGTTGCTGGTTCCATTCTAGTCCAACCAGGTCTTCTAAAAACTGTTAGCAATGGCAGCAGGGTGTGAGGCTGAACATCAGTTTATCTAAGAGCGATTTATTAGTCTGGAAAGCGGTATCGGGTGAAAGATCTCCTCTGAAGCTTGAAGAGTTTTGTCCCCTTTTAACAACCGTACTGGGCTTGACGTGACATGTTAGAGCACTGGTGAAAACGCCATTGTGATGGTGCCTTGAACGGGTGATTTGGCTAAGTTTAGCGTCTCTTAGCACTGTTGTTTCCCAGGCTGCCCCTCAAAATCCTTCAAAGTCAAATTCAACTTTATTGTCATTGTGTTCATGTGGAATGAAATGAGATTAAAGAATATGTAACGGTAGCATCGCTATTCACAGTTACAGCACATAAAATAGCAAAAATAGCTTGGTGAGCCTAATGGTGAGTTTTTACACCGCCATATTGAACTGAACTTCATGAAGGATAAAAGCACCTCTGTATAAACTAGGAGTTTCCAGGGGCCGGTCAAACATCACGGTAACTGTACTGGAGAATGCGACTTGAAACGGAGCGTTAAGCCACCGTAGCCGCCCCAGACGTACTACCAGCATATCTGTGGCATTGTCTCAACCCCCTATCTCCAGATCTGTGATGTGTGGCCCTCAGCCTGTCACCTCGGGACATGTCAAGAAAGTATCACTTTGAGATGCCACCAGTGTCACCAACAAAACACCTCGTGTAAACAAGTGACAAGCCTCTGTTTCCCCACAGTTAAAGTGCTGACAGTCCACCTGTGCGAGAGTCAGAGACAGGACAGGATACCAGAGCAAATCTGTGTTAAAATACAGAAGATGACGCAAGCATGCAAATTTTGGGGCAAAAAAACCAAAGTGTCTCTATGGGAGGGGTTTCAGCATGTTACATTAAAACAACAAAAGCCATTATACAGCCAGTCAACAATAATGAGTTCAGCAATGTACATAGCAGCATGGTAGGAGCTCCCCTATCCGTCTCAGCTGCAGGGTAAAAGCACCTCTGGTGCTAACCATTGCAACCCCCCCTCAAGTGCATAACTGGAAATTAGGGACAGTATTTTATCAGGATTTAAAGTAAATTACTAGATAATTAATGGATAGCAGCGTTATGAGCACAATGATAAATGCAAGAGAATGAATAATAAATAAATGAATGAAGGGCTGTAAGAATATTAAAGGAACCCCTCCATCCATTCATCCATCCTTTGCAGCTGCAGCCTTGCCTGTTGCTCTAATGGTCAGCCTTGTTTTGTTTTCTAGCTCCAGATGACCTTTCGTTTGACTGATGCAGTGAATCAGAGGTACAGATCTGCCCCCCCTCGCACCCAGCCTCACAAAACCCCATCACTTCATCAAATTTTGTGCTAATGCTGTTTTGCCACTGTCATTTAATCACAGAGAGGCACGCGTCATTTTCCATAGCCGCAAACATCACAAAAATTGATTTAAGCGGACAACAGGGTGAGGGCGTGGTCATACGGAGCTGCCCACTCACACAGATGTCTGTCACCCAGCAAAGTGTCTCCTGACTGAGTGACGTAAGACGGTGGCCTAACCTACTGACTCACACACTACCCTGGTGTGGGGCTGAACATTGTCTGAAATGTTCCTCTGAAGTTCAGTTTGCCGTCCTAGGTGAGTGTCAGTGTGGGATTTGGGTCTACGGTTCAGGCTGAGAGCCCAGATTCATATCCCAATGAGTGACCACCCCACGTACGTTGGTGGGAAATCCAGGTGCTGGGGGTTTGATACATGGTGACATATATCATTCATACGCTCCGTCCTCCATTTCTTTTGTGATACGATATCCAAGAGGCAGCCCGGCCATACATGTGGATGCTTCATGTAATAAGCTAAGCTCACAATTTGTCACTAGTGACTGGTTTTAGAAGCAGCATGACATTTCATGGCAATTAGTGTTCTTATGTTTATGTACAAAATATACATTCTTCTACCTACATACCTGTCCGTAGTCCTGGCATACAAGCGATCAGCAATGCATTGAATACAGTCTCGTATGAACTGCCCTTTAAATTTCCTTGAAGTACTTTTACACATAGAGATTATGAGAAGACTAAGGACAGGCTGCTGTCTATCTTTCAAGACTGATTCAAGAGGCTCTTTGCTGTACCTTGCCTTCCCGACTCACACCTGCCTCAAAAAGGAAAAAAAATACTTCATGAAAGAGCCCCTTTGTGGATTCCCTGCATCGCTTTACTCTGCTCTCTGAGGCCCTTTCACACCACGCCTGGCCGGATAAATTTCCTCCCCGGACCTCACAATCTTGGTAGAGGGTACACTTCCTGGCTCTCTGCTTCACGATCCGCCGATGGGATAACAGTGCCGTCAACCAGGATAAGAGCTCCACGCAAAACATGACAGCGTGGGCGGCTCTACAACGGTCTTCTGTGGCAGGACACAAATGGATGGTGGAGAAATTTTAGTCCAGCCAAGGTCTTGCCATGCATCAGGAAATGATCATCTTCAATGCATCTTCAATGATACCTTCTAGCCAGATCAGTTCTGCAAATAGAGATCAGCTTCAGAGAAACCTTGAAGCTGAGGGAACAGTTTCCTCTCAGACCCCCTGAGTCACCTCATGGAAGAAGTTTTACTGATCAGATAATTACACTAACCAAAGGCGACGACTGTAATAATGATTATGAAGGTTGGTTATGAGGTCTTGGTATTGCCTAAACACAGGCGTGGGTTTGCATTGTTGAAAGCCTTGTGAACTATTGCCTTTTTTCCCTAAAAAACCTGTGGAGCAAGTAAACAGGGTGTGGGGGTAGTGGGGAGGGTATCAAAGAGGCTCAGTAGAAACAGTGAGACGTATAAAAGCACAGCATTCCAGAACTACTACAGCTATTGTTCATCCTGTCCCAGAATCAGCCAAATAGCCTTTATAGCTTCTCAAAAAGGAAAGCAGTTTCCTTGACATACCACCTGAGGCAGCAGTCATTATTGCCAATGAGATCTAAAAAGCTTTTCCTGAATACCACAAAGAGATGGCCTGCAGAATGCAGGCATCTCCAGCTGGACCTCTGTCAGCTCATATAAGCAACACTCCCTACACATAATCATTTAAGTGTGATGTTATCAGTACAGCTACTGGTAGCTACAGCTGTTTATGCTGGTCCAAAGTCATGGTACTAATTTGTACATCATTTTAACATTTTACAAAGTAATATAAACCCTTTTAACAGGGCAATCCCCATTTAAAGCAGAGATTCTCAAACAGTATTCTTTTGGGGGGGGGGGTGAGTGGCTCAGTGAGCTAGGTCTCTGGGTTTGAGCTTGGAAAGTCACTGATTTGGGTCCTGTGTCCAGCAGGGTAGCCCACCCCAGCAAAAAACAAAATTGCTCCAAGAGTGCTGGGTAAATGGGTGACCCTGTGCTCAAACCCCAAGCTTCATTCTCACCTGTGTTTGTGTGTGTGTGTGTGTGTGAGCGGGTATACCTTACATTATGGGGGCACAATGTCCCCACAACGTGATGAATACCCATTTTTTTCCCTTATGGGGACAAGGAAACTGGGAAAGGGAAAGGGAAAACTCAATTTGCTAAAAAAATATGTGACTGCAATGAAAAAACTAAAAATGCAAAAACTCTTGCATTTTGTTTGGTTACTTACGGTTAATGTTAGGGCTGGGTAGGGGTTAAGGTTGTCATTGTTGGGATCAAGGTAATGCCTATTGTCACAGTTGCAGGGCAGGCAAGCCGGAAAGCAGGCGAATGGAGCCGTACTTACGGGTAAATGGGGTTTTATTGACGAACGGACAGACAGGCACGGACATCTACGGACACTACAATGACGGATATGGGAAACAGAAGAGGACGCGGACTAATATACACAAGACTAGTCAAAATAACAGGACACAGGTGATCACAATCGGGGATTAACACGAGGTAATGAGGGGGGCGTGGCACACACGAGGATCGGACAGAGCTGGGCGTGACACCTATAGAAATGAATGGACAGTCCCACAAAGATATCAGTACAGATCTGTGTGCGTGTGTGTGTATGTGTACAGTATGTGTATGTTAAACGAAGCACAAGAAGGGATATGAAAAAGCAAACATATTCCAACACACCTGTACTATTCCTTTTGCAAACGGTGAATAAAGCTCCCTTTCACACGTTCGCGCACTTATGCCCTTTCACTCAAAACTGCTGTGTTCACCCTTTTCTGTCTGTATTTGTTTTTTTATCAAACAATGCAGTGCACACAATGCTACACCCCTCCTCCCTCACTAATGGTTTAGGGTGATGTCTGCGGTGTGATTGACAGTGCAGTGCCCTGACGTGGTCCGACATATCGTACTCTTCCCTCTGCACATTTCATGCTTATTAGAGCGGGATCTAACACTGCAGATATGGAAGACCAGAAAATCAGGTGTCTAAACATACAGAAAGTGAAAGCGTGTCCGCAATGTATAACAGCATTTTTTTTTCTTTCCTGGCTGTCTGGTTGTTAAGGGAGTGATTAAATTCACAATCAGAAGGCATGACCTGTGGGGACAAGTGATGGCCAAAAAAGCTGAAAGACAGAAAAAGGCCCAAGTGACGTCACAGAGAGAGCAAATGGCCTTTGACATGACCAGCTATGACTGCTCCTCCAGAATCCTCACCCCAATGATGAATGTGCATCGGGCACAGGTTATGACACAGGCAGAGGGAGCGTCCACCTCTCTGTACACAGACAACTGTGTCCATCACAAATTACTTGACTGAGAAAAAAAACTATGCAGGTTGACCCCCATATCAGCATCGTGTAACTTTGCTCGTTACAGCCATGATTTCATCAGACCATCTCTATTATGAGGCATTAAAGCGATGTTGAATAAGCAGTACTGTTTATAGAGCCAAGCCCAGCGAGAATGGGGGGGGGGGGCAGCTTTTGTCTGGGGCCAACCTGCAAACTGCAGCTTTGATGTGTATCAACAAAGGCCTGTTTTCCTCATTACCCACCATGCAGTGCAGCCACTGTGAACCTCCTCCTCTGTGAGGCATACACATACACTCCAATCCGGAAGTGCTGAATATATACAGGTAGGGAAGGGTCAAGTGGTCGGGACCTTCTCTGCTGCTGTGCCAATGAGTGAGGTTCTTATCCTGCACTGCAACTACTATTTTTCTGACCATGTTCTCATAAATCAACATCACTACCAAGGCCATAATTATAATATATATTGGGGAATGTGCACCCCCCCCCCCCCCCCAATATCCAGATGTGCTCACAATGCCCCCCTAGTATTTATTATAGTTACAGCCTTGGTCCCCCCCCACCCCATGTTGACTCCATAGCTACAGCCTTGATTGATCATTACCACACAAAGTTCATTAGGCAAACTATGACAACAACAGGTAGTTCAACAGCAAAGTTAAACAAGATTGTACTTGTATCTTTGAGTGAAAAGTGTCATATTTGGTGTTTTAGATTAGAGTACCAACTAAAAGCCTGATTAGCTATTAGTTGGTTAGCCTGTGTTTCTTAAAGGACATTTCAGATCAGTCAGATAATTAAAAAAACAAAATGACAGGCATGACCTATCACCACCCTATCTTTTAATTTCCCTGGGGTTAAACTGTTCCTCTTTGATTAGTCATGTTATGCAAATATCCATCTTCAAACCACTCATCCTGGGGCCTCTCCCAGGCAGCCTGGATGAGGTGCGTGTCCGTCACAGCACACACACACACACACACACACACACACCACCCAATCAGAGGAAATCAGAAAAACAAACAAAAAAAAATTCTCTAACAGTCTTTGCATTGCTATAGTTTATTGTCATTTCTTATTTAATGTTACTGTCTATTAAGGTCTAAATGTCTGTTAGCACATGGCCAAAATTGTGGGAACATCTAGCATTTTTGGCATTACGTTAAAATTACTACACAAATATTGGCAGTAATGTTTATAAACAATCAAAGAATATTAAAAATATATATATATATATTAGATGATTAAATAAATAACTGGAGCAGAAGTATAATAAAGTTCTGCAATCTCTAAAAATTGTTTCCACAATTTTGGCCATAGTATATGTTGTGTTGCAATAAACCTGCAATTTCCTTCAGGATTAATAAAGTATCTATCTATCTATCTATCTATCTATCTATCTATCTATCTATCTATCTATCTATCTATCTATCTATCTAACCCTGATGGTGTCATGCCACCTATTATTGGTTTAGCTTATATTGCTGTACCATAAGATAAACAACCAAATAAGTAATAGTTTCTTATTTTAACCAATGGCAAGTAGTTTTGCATCAAAAAAGAAGAAAAACAGGCGCCTTGAATGGCGTTAAAACAAGCGGCCGTCGGAGGGAGCCGTAAGCTCAGCGCAGGCCATCCTGTCCGGGTCCACCTTAAAAAGGCGCTATATCGCCGGGCTACCTGGAGCACCGTGCGCACTCCGGTAGCTCCTTTGGGCTGGTCCAAGTCCCGGGCGGAGTCACTGAAGGGGCAGTGCGATGTGAAGAGAGAAAAAAAAGAAAGGAAAGGAAAGAAAATTAGCTCTGCTCACGCCATTGCCGTCTGAGGCGGTACAGGAAACTTTTTTTGGTTTTATTTTTGGGTTTTTTTTTCACCAGCCGGACAGATCTGGGTGTGCCGGCGTGCGGGGCGGACGGGGGGTCTCGCGCTGACACTTGGGGTCGCAGGACGATCTGCATGTCGCCGGGGTCGCTGTCACTTCCTCTGGCTATTTATTTAATACAGTTTCGGCAAGCGCTGGACGGGAAGGGAGAGGGAAGAAGGCTCGCTGGATATATTTTCTAAAGGCTTTTTTATTATTGTTTTTATCTTACGACGCAAAGCCATCATGTTGGCGACCGGAGGGAAATATGCAAGCAAAAAGCGAAAGAAGCCCGTACAGAAAAGGTGAGGCCATCATATTGTCCCGTATTTCCCAGCTTTGGGGTAAACGCAGAGGTGTTTACTGCGCCCTTTTAATCGCGTCAGTCCCTCTGCACGCGAAGTCTCACTTTAATACCAGTATACTCCTAAACTCTTGTTGACCTCATAAGCTTTTTTGTACATTACCCCAAAACTGTACCCTAAAACTTGTTACCCGTACTTATATGTCTACATGTTTTTTTAATGTTTTTTTTTAATGTTTTTATTTATTAATAGCACACCTCGTTTCTTCAATTTTGATCTGTATTGAGTTTGTGCATTTTTTTATTATATGTTTAAATTGTACAGTTCATGCCACCAGATGTACCAAAACAAATTCGTTGTACTTTCGTACTTGGCAAATGAAGGTATTCTGAATGTTAAGCTGCGTCGTTGTAACCGGCATCATTCGTGCCTTAAACCGGAGTTTAATTATGTATTCACGCTGTTCATGCACATTTTAAGAGTTTCAGGAACAGAACGTTTCCCTTTGAAACAATGTTTATTTTAAGCTTTTATGTGTTATTCGTGTTTATGTATTATAACGTTCCATTAGAGACGCTGTGGGCAGTTAATATGTTGCTTTCGATGGTAATAACATAAAGCGATCGATAATACAGCAGTCACTTCTCGGCGTCTTTTTGCATGCGTATAATGACACATAAGTTGTGCAGCCCATACATACCTAACGCGTGAGTAAGCCACTGTCGTTTTATTTCTTTATATTTATTGTCGTGGTACTGCTGCTATGGCTTTGCTTGTTTTCCTGCTTTTGCCCCCTCTGTACAGGCTGGGAAAAGCTCTCCTGCATTAATCACAATCAAGCCAAGAGGGAGAGAGGGAGCCGGCAGCTTGTCACGCAATGGCCCGGTCGGGGTGGGCTGGGGGCGGGGGGCAGCAGCCCGGCTATCGCACTGTAATCTGATATACGTTTTTTCCCCTCTCCTCATGAGAGCACACTTTTTCTTTTTTTGCGTTCTTTCTTCTTTTTAAATTTTTTTTAAATTGACATATTTTAAGTCACGCAAGCGAACTGAGTTTCTGCTCTGGCTTCAGTCCTCAGGACTTTTAAGAGACCTTTAGTCTCATCGTGCATATATCTTGATGATGTTTTTATTTTTATCACAGTTTTGTATGTGTTGCACACTGTGCGTTTACATGAGCTTTTTTCGGCCCATCGTGTCTTTTTTCTAAGCACTTTTGACTTGCTGTTATCTCCAGCATCAGGAGAGGGCTGCGTTTGGACCTTTTAACATTTTACCAACACTATTTTTGATTATGACGCACATACATAAAAGTATATTGTTAATAATTAAGAACAAGTTTTCAGCAGTAAATTAAGTAGTACAGTTTTCAACTGGAAAATAATGAATTTTAGATTTTATTAACACTTCAACAGCAACTGGAAAAAAGTATTTGGAAACCAGAGACTAATCTTTCAGGAGGTTTTATTCCTGGACTACGGATTCTTACCTTCAACCTTTTAAGGGGGTTAATGGTTGAACTGCAGAGTAATGGAAATCTTGTGCATTGTGTGACAGAGCACTGGTACCTATGTCGCATTGTGGTTTGCATTAAAAACTCTGCTTTTAATGTTCAGTTCAGACAAAAACATTTACCATGCTTTCCATAGCACAGCTGAAAGAAAATTGTTGAGTCAATCAAAGCACAATTAACACATGTTTAGTGCAATTCATAAATTCAGTCCTGTTTTCTGTTTTTGGAGAGTGGGGGCGAGGCTGGGGGGGGGGGCACATTCCTCCCATGTTCAGCCGCGTTCACACTATCAAGTCTGACGGGTGTTTGGTACTCCATGAATCCCTCCCATTGTCTTCTCCAGTACTGGGAAATAACTTACTGTCTTGTAGAGTAGCAGGTGGACACCTGGTTTATTAAAGTATTGTGAAAGTTTTTCACCTATAATGTTCAGGAGATGAAGAGGCCTTTTATGTGGTGTTTCACACAGTGCAGGGAGTCCAACACAGCTCTCCTAGGTTGACCCCCCGCATTCTTGCGTTGTCTCTGATCAAATCGGCTTCCGTGGTCTCTGTCACGCACAGCTGGACACTCTTTTACTTCATCCTGGACATCACAGCCATCAGTCAGTGTCCTGATCTTTAAACTGCCATTGACTTTGCAAGCAGTATGTGACAGATAATTCCATTTACGGATAGACTTTGCAAGCAGTATGTGGCAGATAATCCCATTTACGGATAGTAAGAACGTCTCTCAAATTCATCTCTGAAATCAATTTGTGTGAGTCAGAGCAGCCCACCAACAACACAGAGTTGTCTCACTTGCAGAATTACTGCTGTCCCAGTGTGCAGTCATGCACCTATTATTCTTCAGATATGTGTTAAATTTGCCTTTTTTGGTGTCTTGCCTGCAGTTGTAGCAAAAATGTATGTGGCAATTAGTTGTGCTTGCATGTTACAGTATAATTACCATGGTAAATGGCCTGTATGAAATAATGTATTTATTGGATTATCCTCTGAGTAGTTACATTGTTTTGAGATTGTTTCCAGATTCGGCTATGTGAAAATATGTCCCAGTATTTTCCTGACCAAGACTTATTCGTGTAGTGGGAAGGGAAGATGGAGTGAGTCTGTGTGTTTTTCTCACATGTTTTGTAGGAGTTGAGCTGCTAGATTTAATGAATGTGGCTACTTGGGATTTCTATTTAAGCTCTTATCTTTCGTAAAATGTGGTGGGTAAATACATTTATGCCCAGGTCATCAGTGGGCTGGTAGTCATGTGACATGTAAAATCAACTGGCATTAAGTGAGAAAAGTGCACTGATTAAGGCTTTGCTCCCACAGGCCTGCATCACCACTCAGTGTGTGATTAAATGAACTGCGTTTAAGCCATCATAGTACTTCTCAGAGGAAGATCCAGAGGTCCTGTTTCATGCTGAAATGTTACATCATTTATCACTCTCTTTTTCCACAACACCATCTTCAGTTCAGCTTTCAAAAATCATATTGGTAATAGGGGGTGGTAGACCTGTGCCCCAGTAGAGCTTTATGTCTAGCAACGCTCCTGGTGGAGCACGTTCTGAATCCGAGGCCGTCATCCCAATATTTTAAAAAATCCACTCATGCTTTGACTGATTAGTAAAGCCATGTCAAGGTGAAGGATTGTCAGCAGATGTTAAAGAACTGGCATTTTCATAATAGTGATATGGAATTTCTCAATTGATAAATGTGCCATTTGGCCTGACAGAGGCCACTAGTTGACTGGTTATGCAGTGTCATAGGACGACCTCTAACGTCTCAATGGAGTGTAATGTGGATTCAGGATGGCATGTCCTCGGACCCCAGTGTGCTCTCCAGTGACAGCCCCGGGGTTTTGCAGTGGTGTGATGCTTCTGCCTTCAAGAAACAAAATATTAAACTTTATGAAGTTGAAGTGAAGTACAAGCTGCAATATTGTGTTTGTGTTAGGCAGTAGTAAAATGTGGTTTTGATAACCAGTTTTCAGCAGGGGTTTGTGTGCCACGTATGAAGTATTACCACCAAACCAGACCTCATTATTACCAGCCGTGTCAGATGTCTTTCAACTGAAACCTCTGAAAACATAAAAATAAAAGTCTCAGAATCATGTCATTCAGGTTTTGCGCCGAAGTGACATTTCACGACCCTGTCAGCTTTAGCAGCACGTGCAGCACCTTGGATATTTTTAGCAAGTGGCCCATAAGAGTCACAGACCTCTAAGGCAAGTGACGTTTAACAACTGACTGTTTTCAGTCCTCAAACTAAAAGCAGATTTATGAGCTCAGCAAAAGGTTATCATTCATGTGCTGTTGCACTCCACCAGAGATTTCAATGATTTGAGCCATACTGATAAAGGCATTTGATACCAAAGCAGCTGTGCCTGGGCATAACCTATTGTGAATTAACGTTAGCGATTAGTTTCCCAAAAGTGGCATTTATTCCAAATTCAATGTCAGTCACAGTGCTTTAGGTCAATAACAGCGCTTGTCTCATTTCCTTTTGACAGTGTGTGGCTTTAGTATCAAACAGTAATCACCAATACCAGACTTTGGATTATTTACTCCATGCTGTCTCTGGGGAAAAAGAACTGAAAGCAGATGCCCCCCCGATCTGAGTGCGACAGAATAGCTGGCGGCTGCCAGTTCAGATGACAGCATGTCCGTTGGGTGGTTCGGGTGCGCCAGACTGAACCGGTGTGTGTGTCAGCAGGGTCCAGAGCCAGGCCAGGCTGTGAAACCGCGACATAACCTGTTTTGGATAGAGTTGGCAAACAGACAAACAAACAAACGATCGTCAATGAGCAGGACTCTGCTGCATTTCTGGTTATTTTCCTGTCTCTGCTGTTGTTCTGCCCTCGCTGTCAATGGCTAGGTTTTGGTTGCAGTTGAATTTCGGCTCAGTTTGTTTCCAACTTCATTTTGTGAGGCCTAGATCCAGGCATTGTCTAGAGTATGCACCTGAATGTTGTTTTGTGTTCGTAGACCCCTTGTTACCAATACCTACAGAGTGCTGCTTCACACAGCCCCATGTTCTCCCTGTACCTTTTGTGTTTTACATGAAGTCAAACCTCATGAGAAAGAAAGCTGCTCTCTATTGTTGTTTTCGCTTGTTCAGCAGCAGGAAGCACAATAAGCTCCTTGCTGCTAGTTGTTTTGTTTTGTTTTGTTGGTGCTGGTGATGATCTGATGAAGTGAATTGCCCAGGAAAAGCAGGTGGATAAGGACACAGACATGTGACTCTCCAGCAGGCGAGCCCCCGCTAATCCCCTGAGTTACTGTATTGCGGCATCCCCTTTGTGCAGTCCCACTATGTAAAATTACACGGCAGCTCTTGATGGGGGGTGGGGGATGTTTGGCCCTTATGTTGCACCCCAAACAAAGAAAAATTCCAAATAAATGAATGAGGACATTAATCCGATGACATACCCACATCCGAGTAAGAGGCGGCCATACGCAGAGGAAAATGCACCGGGGAGGGCGGCTACAGGCCTTGTTCTGTGATGTTAGTCTTCTGTGCATAATCTGGCTGTATGGCTCTTGCTGGCATCCTTCTGTCAGAGCCAGTCCAATGGGGCTGCATGCTCGCTGTGGCTAAGTGGGACTAAAGTGCTCTGAGGTAGACAGCCATTCAGAGGCTTTTAAAGCCCACAGAAGAGACTTGTATTCCTATTCATTGTTTTAGTTTTGCATGTTGGTTTTTTTGAAGTAGGCCAAAGGACACTGCAGTGTTTTAGCAGCTAAATCAGTGTATTCTGAATCGTGGGTTATAAACATCCACTGGCATCACAGAGGTGGCCATGAGTCTGTGGTCAGGCTCCTTGGTGACCCAAGCTGGAATAGAAAATTCCACTGCAGTCATGGCCTCAGCAAGCTCCATGAGCTGCCCACAAGTTCGGTATGGGCTGCACTGCAAAAAATGGCTTTTCAAATTCATGATAAACTGTTTCTGTTTTGAGACAAGATGACCTAAAACTAGTTAAATTATCTGCCAGTGCAGTAAGAAAAGTGTTATGATTTCCTAAAATAAGACTATATGCCTAAATGCAAGCAAATTGATCTTATACATAAGATGTGTTGTTAGTCAGATTATTCATGAATTTCAAATTTTGTCTAAATATAAGAAAATTATACTTAGATTTTCATTTTTGGCTGTGATGAGAGGGGCTGGGCCTGTTAACTTCATCAGATTTTTTCAGTTCCTTGACTTCCTCAAAATATTTTTAATCCAACTCAGTTCCAGGGGCAGAAAGTTGCATCCAAAAACAGAAGAGTGATCGGTGCCCGTGTCATTTCCACCACCTCCACTCAGAGCTCTCTGACTCCTGTCTGGAGCTGCATCAGCAGCTGAGGTGCAGCTGTTTGTGAAAATAAACAGCCCATGAACATATTATGAGCTTTGCTGTATTTGATGTAGGGTGACAAAGGCTGTTCACTGGATAACATGGGCAGGGAAGCAAGGCTGTGGACGTGTTTTCTTTCGACACTATCTTCTTCCTCTGAAGCAGTGTGTTGGTGACCTTATAGCTAGTGAAGGACCTTCTCCCTGAGTGTGTATGAACCTGAATGAGCAGATATGGGTGCATGTGTCAGTACAGGCTTGCTGCAGGATCCACACTGCAGAGCTCCTCCCCTGGACATGTCCTGACCTGCCTAACTTCTTTCCCGTCAGTCCCAAGCCCCCGCCGCGAGAAGGTGCCAAGTCCAACCCCTCCAAGCGGCACCGGGACCGACTTAATGGGGAGCTGGACAAGCTGACCAGCCTGCTGCCCTTCCCCGAGGATGTGCGGGCCCGCCTGGACAAACTGTCTGTGCTGCGGCTCAGTGTCGGCTACCTGAAGGCCAAGAGTTTCTTCAGCGGTGAGTGCCATTACTAGGGTGGGGGTTCAGAAAGCGAGTCACACTGCCAATAGAGCAGCGGGTCCAAGGGTGGCCCCACCTGTACCCGGTTTGAGTAGCATCACACTCACACCCTTACTGTGGGTCATCACCATTGGCTTTGTGGCATTTCTATCTCTGTTCCAAAGTGGTTCAGAACTTGAATACTGTGGCCACGTGGCAAAAAGCGGATGGTGCCGGTAGCCACCAGCCTGGAACAAGCCTGAAACCAGCAGAGTCTGTTGAGTTTCCTGTCTGCATCGGGCAGGGAGGAAGTCTTCTCACCTCTAGATCGTATGGTAGACCCGGCGTGGTTACAAATTTAGCTTTGGTGGCTTACCAAAGTCTAAAAAGTGTGTTTGTGTGTGTGTACGTGTGTACGTGTGTGTGTGTGTGTGTGTGTGTGTATGTGTGTGTGTGTGTGTGTGTGCGTGTGAGCAGGTATACCTATCCTTTTGGGGACACAATGTCCCCATAACGTGATAAATATCCGTTTCTTTTTCCTTATGGGGACCTGTTTCCCGGTCCCCATAAGGGAAAACTCTATTTTATAAAAATCGGTGACTGCTATGAAAAAACTTTTGTATTTTGTATTTTGTTTGGTTACTTATGGTTATGGATAGGGCTGGGTAGGGGTTAAGGTTGTCATAGTTAGCGTTAGCATTTTTCCCATTGAAATGAATGAGCGGTCCCCATAAGGATATGTTTACCCTACATGTGTGTGTGTGTGTGTGTGTGTGTGTGTGTGTGAATTTGAGTAATACCGCTTCTGCACAGCTCTGCACCCAAACACCCAAAACCCCACAGCAGCCCAGGTCAGGCTGGGGATCTCTGAGTCACAGAAACCCCCACCCTTCCCCCAACGACTGTCACAGCTTCAAAGGGTAACCACAGTGAGTGGGGCTCAGAAAACAAACGTCTCTCTATTAACCGAAAGAAGAACGTGTCCTGAAATGGTGCTGTTCAAAGCCTGTTGGATCCATACGAGGAGTCTGCACCCCCCCACGAGGAGGCAGATTTTAGAGAGACAAACCGGATGTGACTCATACTCATAAAGTTACCACTCACACATCACACACTGTGGCAATAGTATTTGCCGTTTAACACATCTTAGAGTGACAGTTAAACATGGAAGCTGCTATTTTGGTTCCGTAAACATTAATAAAATGTCAACAGTGCTTAACAGTGCATTGTTCAAGCTCAGCGCTCTTGCTGCTGTTTTAATTCCCTTCATCCCTGGAGAAGCTCATGCAGCAATGCTAAACGTTGTGCCTTCTGGCCATTTCCTGCATTTGAAGCCTTAGTCTTCACCTTTGCCCTACATAATTTCTGGGTTCCATGACACTTCACACTCTCCGTGTAACTGGAATGGTGACCATATCTTGATGGCTTTTTTCTTACTTAGCACTGCTGTGACTGACTACTTGGATCACTTGGCCTGTGACTTTATTCAGCAACATATTTATAGAGCACATTCACAGAATTACATCTCTTATTTGAGATTGAGAAGTCTAATGGGGAGGTTAAGTGTGGCCCCAGTCCTGATTTAGATCAGGTGAAATGGATGACTTGACTGTTAAATGCTGGCAGGTGCATGCTGGAATGAGTACATTCTGCCGTAGCTTGTGATATCATGCCCATTAGCTGGGTGCCAGGCTTGGCACGTCCTGATTGGACGGCCCACGGCCTGAGCATTCTCTGTGGCACGGGGCCTGGCGTTAAATAGGCAGGTAGGAGCATGGAGGTTGTTGCAGATCTATAAAGGAATCCCGCACGTAACGGTAAATAAATGGATGAGCACTGCTAAGCAATTACATGAAGAAGACAATGGTGATGATCCTAACCGCTGAAATGAGATGTGGTTTCAACCTAAACTTCCCTTTCCTGTCAAAAATGGGCCACATATTGTTTAGGCTGTTATTAGAGCGCCCCACCCCCCATTATGCCCACTCCCTTTTCCCTTTTGATGTCATTGGTAAAATGCAAATAAATGGTCTTTTTGCCATTTGGTGGCAACACTTACAGTCTGGGACATGCTGGGGTCGCCACGGCCTGCCACTTAACCCCACGATAGGCTTCCTGCCATTGTTCTCCCCGTGCCTAAAATAGCAGCAATTAAAAACAAACGTCAACCTCCCCTCGGCCCAGGGTGGCTTGGCAAACCTGTCGACAGGAGGGGAGCCTATTTTCGGGCTGCGATCCACACTTGCAAAAACAGGCCGAAGGAAAGTCACTGGGGATGGGTAACGTTTCCTGCTTGCGTTTATACATGTCACTTCCCTCAAAGACCGTTGCTACCAGTGGGATAGGTGCAGGCACAGTGCCTAAACGTCACCTAGGCAACAGGTGTACACAGTCGCCGCTGTTGCTGCAGGAATCCTTGCTGGCATTTCAGTGGGGCTTTGGCGAGACATTCATAAGCTGTGCCATAATGTGAGAATGCGTTTTGGTCTGCAGCACAGACACAGAGACTAATCTTCGCATGCAGGGCAGTGAAAACCCTGAATCAAGAGCTCCATGTTGGAATATACATGCTGCCCCTGTAGTATTCCAGCATACTCAGGAATAACGCAGCCAAACGGGTACCCACTGGAAGGTTTGGCATTTGTACACATGGCCATGTGGTCATACAGGTTTGTGTTTTAATGATGCCAGAGTGCGAAATAGGGTGAAGCCTTGCGATGGGCTGGAGGAGACTGTCGCTGGCTTGTCTCGGCACCTCCGATCAGACAGCGATATCCTCCTGAGAGCCTGACAGGGCTTGTAATTTCTAACATTCTTGAGATGAAAGCAGAGGCACATGGCAGGAGGTCAGAATCGCTCCATCTCTCTCTCTCTCTCTCTCTCTCTCTCTCTCTCCCCCTCTCTATCTCTCTCTGTTGCTGTCTTTGCCCATCTCTCTGCCTTTCTTTGTATCTGTCACTCTTTGTTTCTCTGTTTTCCTGCCTTTCTCTCAGTGTTTCTCTTCCCTCCCTCCCCTGCACACCTTACTGCAGTTTGGATGAACTTTCCAGTTTGCTTCTACCCCCACAGGGGACCTGAGTATGTTTTCCCCACTCCAGCTAAAACCAGTCAACCTTATCAGGTAGTTTCTTGTGGGTGTTTTATGCAGATGAACCGGTCTGCTATGCTCGCCAGTAGATAGTAATCTGATAGAGCAGCTCTACTACTTTCCTGCAACTCAAACCAATGCACCATTTGGCTTTACTTTGAGAATTATATACAATTTATATGATACTAATTATGCTCAAAACTTCTACTGGAGCTTCAAATATAGTAGCTGAATTTGTCACTGCATATCATTTGCTTAAATCCACAATATCAGCACCAGCTACCAGGTCCTCAAACAGCAGTCCGGCCGGGATCTGCATATAAGAGAGCACTGTCTCTTTCTCTCCATCTGGAGTTTATGGGAAAGGGCTTCACATGACGACCTTGGCCTTGACCTTGTCCGGCTTCCTGATTTGATTGGAATGGAAGCCGGATTCTCCAGCAGTTGCACGGAGTAGCCGAACATATCTGTCCTCAACTGTATCCTCCTCTTGTGGGACTGGCCTCCTTTAGATGCCTTGCAGGGGTAGTCTGTGTGTCATAGGTTGTTGGCATCGCATGTTTCCAGCCATGTCTTACCAACCACCAATTGTCTCTATGGTGATCAGGTGATCTATGGTGATCATGCCAGATGGGTTGGGGGAACTCCAGAGTGGTTTAGCTTGGCACACATAATGAGCCCCTGGACGGGTTCTTCCAAATGACAGATTCAGGCAGTGGGAAGTGTCACCGCACCTTTGGGAAAGGAACTCGACTTTGATCCGGTGTAATGGCACAGACAAACTTCCCCTTGGGTCTCCGGATGTTCTTACAGCTTTGAGATTTGGACTGGGGGCAGTGCATGTTTCTGTCAGAAAATAGCCCACCAAAACAGGCCCAGCCAGCCTATGGAATTATATCAGAAGACTTGTGTGCTTCAGCCCCAAGCAAGTGTCAAAGGAAAAGACAGTAATTCAAGATGCTGGACTCTCCTATTCAGTGCTAAACTTTGTATGAGAGCAGAGGGAGCTTGTTTCTGGTTCCTTGTTTCCGTAAGGCAAATTTGAAACATAACTGAATCGGTCTTGGTTGAGGACCCAATATGATATGCTTTCATGGGGCCCAAAATCTCTAGTGGCACCCTTGACTTGGCCACCCTGCAGCCTCTGTAGGCCTCCATAGAGACTTATAGCTTGTGGAACCTTGTATGTTGGGTGTTGAGAAAGGTAGGATCTAGGAGGAACTAGTTGCTCTGTGGGAGGAACTAAAGCATTGTAAGAAGGGGCTAAGACATTAAGTGTGGGTTGTTGTACTATGTGTTAGAATGTATCCCTGTGGCAAAAATGCAGGTTTGGATCAAGTGATCCCTCTTGACCCATTCAAGCAGAGGAACTTTAGTCACAGGGTCAAGTTGGACACTACTCTGCATGTCTGGATGCTAGTCTTGGGCCTCTGAGGTGCTTCTCAGTACGTGTGCCGCACGCAGTCACTGCTCATTTGGAGGGAGTAAATTACTGCCACCCATCCAGATTTGTAGCCACAGATTGAGTCATCTAGCCCAATCTGGAGAACGTCATTTGGCTCCATTCCACAGGATTTCATAAACGTTAAAAATAACCCTTGGTGGGCCGTCCTTCCGAAACTAAGCGTACGCCACGGGGAAAGGTGTCTTTGTTTGGTTAGGGTTTAATTCGGTATAAGTTTTGTTTGGTGCACTGTCCTTGTTTGATCAAGGTTTTGCCAAGTCACATTCATTGACAATAAATATGGACAAGCTTAAAAAGAACCATTGTTTTGATACACAGGGTTTTTTCCCACTTGCATTCCGATGTAACATATTAATCAGAAAGTGTGGTTATTATTGTAAACACAGCCAGCCTGCAGATTTAGTGAACCTGGCTAGTGAAACTGTGATTGTGTGTGTGTGTGTGTGTGTGTGTGTGTTTGTGTGT